ATGTATTACAGTATCCTCTTGGCAGTAGTCGAGATCGATCAGTGAATCCACCTATGGACGAGCGTTCATTAATAGCACGATTAGAGGAGGAGAATTCGCTTATGATGAGAGAGATATCTCGATTAGAGAGTCAGGTGAGCAGATGCAGTTCCACCATTAACATAACTATGTTGTTACGGTATTACGGTCACATAAAATTTAGACTTTGTCTGACGATGGTCAGTTGACGGGTCTTAGAGAAAGAAAATCTCAATTAGAAGAAAAAATGTATGTGATGCAGCAGAAACGTCGGGATCTCATGATGCAATTGGAGCAGCTTATGACGCAATTGAACGTAAGTTTTAAGGCAATCAATAAATTGAGCACTTATCGATGAAGTGATTTGTATAGGCTCCTGGTACAGTGACAACATTCCCTTCATCATCGATGTCGCAAATCCCAGATTCGTTAGCCGGCGTAGGAACGAAAGTCTCCACAGCATTCCGTGCGGGTAGTTTACCGGCAACAACCACAAACTTACAGGTTAGCTATATTGATTGATATTGATTTGTCCTTTGATCGAATATTTCTAATTCAGGGAGATCTCTTGCAAGCTGCCGATCAAATCACGTCAAATATGGGCGAGTTTCTACGAGAATTAGATCAAGGTGAGGAAAAATGAATGAATTTGAGCGAATGAATGAGATAAATGAACCGAATGAATGATTGTATATGCAAATAAAGCCAGGCACTTTTAGCCCAAGATCAAGAAAATACAGCCACTGTTCCCAATGGACATTACCGAGAACCACTGTGATCGACCAGCTGTATGTACTTATCCTTATACCTCCTCCTTTTCGCTACGCTGTTTCCTTTCGTTGACTCTTATCTTTCCAAAGCTAAAAAATCAATTATTGATTTCCATCTTCTCGTCGAATCTCTGTTATACACTATTTCCAACTACGGGTATGTAGCTAGTCACCTTACTATGCTTGTTTGGTTGATGCACTTGATTCCCAACCATGAACTGCCATGACCGTGTTGTTTTCTTTTCTTTATCCTTTTGGTTGATATTGATTTTGCTCTTATTGATTTTGTAATAAATATTGAACACATTCTGAATTTTTTTCTGAGCTTTTGGTTCTTGTAATTTGCAAGAATTGTACCTAAAATTCAGAAAAAAATCGGGACTCTCTCATTCCTAAATTAAGCTACGCAAGAACTTGAATGTATAGGTATTCCATTTGCGAAATCTGCCAAACTGTGCAAGTACAATTCAATGGCATTCTTGAGTGTAGCGGATCATGATGAGGTGATGGGTCAAGGTATGTGCCAAATTTTTCCAGTGTTCCTCTGATAACAACTTTCCTCTTTTTTTT